ATTGGGACCCACACCCAGTTGCACACCTTGGCTCAGGCGATTAGAGGATCATCAGGGGGTCCTTTTGTCCCTCTGTGGGGGAAACTCCCACTAGGTTTAAATCTGGGACTCCCCACCATTTGACCTTAGAACTGAAGAAGCTTCTCAGATGAGAGATGAAACGTCTTCAAGCAACTTAAAGAAGTCCAGACGCTTTTCTTTGCAAGCTGACTGAGAACCTTCACAGACAACCCACCCATATAAGACCCAACTTGCCCCTAAAGTGCTTTTTTTGTTATAAATTCCTACGTGCTGCAGTTGCGTCACAAACCCCTGCACACGCTGACATGTGTAGTGAAAAGAAAAGGAAATAATCACTGCAGCTGCAATGCACTCACCGGCTTCACTGAGAAACTTCTCCTTTACATCAGCCGAACAGTCCTTACATGTTTTGATGGCCACTCGGATCCTCTCCCCTGTCTGCAAACAAACACACACGCACAGTGGTTTACATTTGCAAACCTTTTTCATATTTTCAGCTTTGAGTTTAATGGATATTTGTGGGATGTTCTTATCAAGCATGTCTGAGCCTTAGCGTGAGGCTAGTTAGTCAACACAACAGATGGACTCACTGGGCTTTTATAAACTCCATCGTGAACCTCTCCAAAGAATCCCTCGCCCAGGATCCGTCCCACAACGAAATCCTCCTTGGAGATCTTGTACCTTTCTGCACACAGAAACAAAGGCACAGGTTGAGAAAACTCCACGTTTCCCTCTTTTAAAAGGCAGGTGATATGCTGTAAATGTAAAGCTGTTCATTTCAAACAAGACAAGACAACAAAAAAACAAAAAGAAAAGCCTACACACAACAGGATGTGTGGTTTGCCACTATTTGTACTTCCTTCCCTTACATGTTACTGGGACACGCTTACATCCTCTGTGTCACACTTTGCAGCAGTATGTTCACCTCCGCCGCTGTACTTATACACTGAGGGAGGAAGGCAGGAGTGTAAGGAGGGGTTTACCAAGGCCTGCTACTGTTAGTATTGTTATTAGCATTGTTTCTTAGCCTTAGGTTGCCCAATTTAGCCAATGAAGTGGAACCATTACACGGGTCCTGGGAAGTTTGTTTAGCTCACAAAACACACATTTCAAAATTAGATTGTCCTGTATTCTTCTCTGTTGATTTAAACTTTTGAATTTACTTGATATTAGGCTTTTGTATTTGTATTTTCTATTTATCTGATGTCCAATTTCTAGGTTTTTATTTCTTTTGATGGTGATAACAGCTCATACATATAATTTGATGTAAATATTAATAATAATAACCTTAATTTTATTG